GTACACCACATCTTTGAGGGGGTTTGGGGATTGGCAATAAATATGCCTGCGTAACAAGGATGACTTTTTATAAGAAATAATCCTGTTATGTTTGTAGCTTTCCATTTGGTTAGTCAAATGCTGCTGAAATGTACATGCTGCTTCCAACAAAAATGATTAGCTAAATTAAAACTTGACCTGCTCAATGTGGTTTTGAGTTAGATAATTTATGAAACGAGATCTGAAGGATTCCATTGACTGGTGGTTGCAACCAGTGAGAGTCATGCAGCATGGGAACAGATCCTGCGGTCCAACTAGTAAACGCTGACCACTTTTCCCAAACTAAACTCTTCTCACCTGCATTTGGCCCATATCCCTCAACCGTTGCTATGCATATGGCTATCTAAATATCTCTTGAACATTGTAACTGTACCTGCATCCATCTCTTCCTCTGGTAGCTCATTCAACACATGAGCCACTCTTTATCCTCTTTTTTAAAAAAAGGTGCCATGTACTCTTTAAAAACTTTCTCCCTTCCTTTTTTAACAAATGCTCCCTAATTTTGAACTCCACCCACACTAGGGAAAAGACCCTTGCTATTCACCTTACCAATGCTCCTCATTATTTTACAAACCTTACTAAGGCCATCCCTCAAACTCCTACAGTTTGGTGAGAGAACTCCCAGCCTATTTTTAAGTTGAACCCTCCATTCCTGGCAATGTCCTGGTAAATCTTCAGGAAGGTTTTGCTGGGCTGTGTTTAGCCTTGTTATTTCTGGTGCCTAGGTCAGTGGGTTATCAGTTCAGTTTCATTCCTTTTGAGATTTTTTAGGGTTGGACACAAGTGTCTTGCTCAGCCATTGCAAGAGTCAACCACATTGCTGTGGGTCTGGAATCACATGTCAGCCAACAGATTTCCTTCCATAAAGGGAAATATTAAACAAGGTGAATTTTGAATTCTTTCTAAATCAGGCAAACAACTGAGAACCAAACTTTCACAAGCCTTTAACCACTGGTTGAATGTCCCTGAAGAGAAATTGCAGGTAAGAGCTTTTTTGCATGTTATTCAAGATGTTGGTTTTATTTTGTAAAATTCTTAGTAACAGCAATTATGAATTATAGATTACAAATTGAAATTAGCCTATGTAATTGTTTTAAACTAAACAAAATCTTGCACTGATTCTCCTGTAGCAATGCAATTCCTATTGGTGGTAGCTCGATAGGTATATGAAGTTGTACAGAATGCAAAGGAAGTTGTTTGGTTCATCATACCATTCAAAAGAATTGGCAAAGAGCAGTCCAGTTGGTGCTACTTACAGTTGTATATATTCATTTGTTTTTGGAAAACGTTATTCAAGTCTGCTTCTCCGTCTTTTAGATGGTAGTACATTGTGGGGGTGGTGGAGTGGATATCAACTGTTATGATCTGAAATCTCCTCTCTGGTTCATCTTTTAAATTTATTTTTATTTAGTCAATTTTCTGCTTGCTAATGGTTTCTCCTTATCAATTATATCAAAACCCATATCTTTGAGCATGACTAATGTTTTCTGTTCTTGAGACATCCCAATTTTTCTGCTGTCTCCAAATCCTAGGACTTTAGGTCTCTACTGATGCCATTCTAGTAAATTGCCTGTGCATCATCTTGGTGTGGAGCCTGCACTGTTGCCAATTTTTACGGGTGCACCACAGACAGCATTCTATCCAGATGTGTCATGGCTTCGTATGGCAACTGCTGTAAAAACCACTGTTGCCAACAGAGCCCAGTCCGTTACACATCAGCCATCCATCTGCTGACTCCATCTGTACTTGCTGCCCTGGAAAGGCAGCCAACATGAACGAAGACCCCTCCCACTCTGGTTATGTTCTTCTAACTTCTGACAGAAGATACAAAAGTTTAAACACATGTATTAGCAGATTCAAGAACTGCTTCTTCCTTGCTGTAATTAGACTTCTGAATGGACCCCTCAAATTTTAAATTTAATGTTGATCTCATTCTTTGTGCACCTTCTCTGCAGCTGTAAAATTGTATTCTTGCTTTGTTCTGTTACCCTGATGCACTTTTTTGTATGGTATGATCTGCCTGTACAGCATGCAAAGCAAAACTTTTCACTGTACCTGTGACAGTAATAAATCAAATCCAAATTGGATACAGTCCAGCTGGGGGCCAAGGTCTGGTTTAAACAGCTTGGCATTACTTGGTATGCTGTACAGCAATTTAGCCCTCTCTCATTCTGAAGTAGGCATAGGTGGGGAGGATATGAGAAATTTAATGTGTAGCTGATACCCTTTATCACTCCATTTTTGATGTGAAGCTTGAAAGGAAGCTGTTTGAAAAACCTGTGAAGTGCTTGCTGTGACAATTTAACCTCCACAGCTTTGTAATCCATACAAACAGTTGAGGGCTTATTTTGCATTTTTTAACTTTATTTTGTCGAAGTTCAGGAAATAGTGCACTGTTTGAGTCGTGAATATTTTTGAGTTCGTGTGGGACCAGAATAGTGCTTAGTTAGCATTGATTTGCATTTGAGCTTGAACATTGACAAAAGTTATCTGAGCACTTGACATTTGACAAAGAGCAGATTATATTGGTCTTTTAATTGTTGATGTGCGATGCAGCAGGTCTTGTTTTTTTTACAAAAAGTGTTTGAATTAAACATGTTTAGTTGCTGATGTCATTTCAATCCAAATTCTCATCAGTATTGATGAGGCCTCCAGAGTTAGTTTATCCACAAATTCTTGAACTTGTTCAACTGTACTATGTTGACTCTCTTAATGCAGCATTACTTTGTGTAATTGAATTTTCCCTGAGATGAAAGTTCCATATATCTTGCATGCTTTATAAGCAAGCCTTTCTACTTTCACCCTGCATTCTCATTCGGAGCTTATTGAGTGAATATGCTGTGCTGGAAACAGTAAATTGTGTGATTTTATAAAGTACATCATTGCACAAGTGCATGTTGAGCTGTGATAGTTCAAAATGTTGTTTGTATGCGCAACTTCAGTTGTGGGTTTGAGAACATGTTGGCTGTATTGAGTATCTGATAAGTATATGCTGCAAAAGTTTTAGGTCTATCTTTGATACCTGCACACTCTGAAACTGGTTCCTGTTTCTGATTTTTGTGGTTGCAGATTTGCTGCCTTACTTCACTCTCCCTCAATGCACGAGTGTTTGCACAAGCATTCCCTGACTCTTCTCCCCTGTGCCCCAACCCCACCGTCTATTGTTGCCACTCAATTTGGCAAGTTGGTATCATGCAGCAAATGGTCTGTGATTGTTTACCTTCTCCTAGGGCTGGGATGGACAGTAAATGCTGGCCCAACCAGCTGCAGCAAAATCTAATGAACTGATGAATTAAGAATTAAAATATCTGTAGCCAACTAAATCATCCAGTAGATTTCCCTTTTTCAGTAAACTGAAGTCTTTTCTGTGATCTATCTGGTACCTTCCCAGCAGTCTCCTTGCACCTTTTTGTGAGAAGCAATATTGTAGCACCAAATGTTTCAGCTGCCTTGCAGCCTGTTGATGATCATGGTGTGCTGTCCATGGAGAGTGAACTGGAAGTATAATTTCAAAGAAATTTGTATTTGAATATTTTACAAAATTAATATAGCCATACAAATGTGAAACCTTACAAACTATTGAGACAGGAGGGTTTTGAGGGGCATCTTGGAGGATAGGAAAGTTTTTGGGAGGGGTTTCAAACATTGGAGTGGTCAAAAGCCTAGTCACCTGTGCTAAAGCAATGAGTGAATATTGGGGGTGTGCACATTGCAAGGATCTGAGTTGGGGCTAGATGAGATTGCAAAAATGTGGAGGACCAAGGCTAAAGAGTTTTGAACGCAAACCAAAATAGGTGCTATGACTGCTGGATGTCTGACTTTAGAAAATTTTCCAAGGGGCTACCACAGTGCAGCTCCTCTCTAGCTGTCTCTGGTATTCAGTGGCTGATACATGATCCACGAACTCTGTTGATGAACTTTGTTAGGCGTGTTCCTTTTTTAATACAAGGAAGCAGCTACAATCGTAAGAAATTCAGATGTTCTGATTGTTATGGACTATCTTGATTTCATATATTTGATATATTGCCTGGCATAGCTCAAAAGTTCCCTATGAGAAGGAACCAGATGAGTAAATTTCTCCTATGCAGCAGTCATGTAGTGATCAGGAAGTAAACAAAGATTATGGGGTGGGCAAAGGGAGTTGGAATATGGATGGCTAGTTCTGCTTTAGGTTACACCGTAGAAACAAATTTTAACAGACAGCTGGGGGGAAATAAATTGTTATTGATATGAAATGATACATGTAAGGAAGACTAATTGTTAATACTTCATCTTTTGAAACCATATGACTTGCAATCTAGTATTTACTTCGATGATTCTATGACTTGGCTTTACCAAGATGGCTGGAAACTGGATTAGTGCACTGTTGTGCCATCTAGTGGTCAGGCCACAACTTTACCTTTTTTCATCCATAAATTCTTTTAAGCCTGCATCGTCATGCAGAAATATTTAACTAGGATTTAGAAGAAAGTTTCAGGTTGCAGCAATTCAAAAAATGTAAAGATATCTATTGATTAGAAGTAGTCACAAGACATTTGTGCAATTTGAGTATAGAGAAGTAAACAGGTTATAATTTATAACCTAATATTCAATTGTATTCTTGTCAAATATAGAAGCTACCTCATCTGGTCTGTTTCAAAGTTGAGGGTTGACTGATCATATGACATTAAGAAATAAGAACAAGAGTTGGCTGTTTGGCCCTTCAAGCCTGCACTGCCATTCAGTGGAATGATGGATGATTCAACATTCCTCATCCACTTTCCTGTCTTTTCCTTGGAACCCTTGATTTTCCCCTCAGCTTTAAATATGTACAAGGACTGCATCCCCACAGTTCTCTGCTGCAAGAAATTCCTTCTCGTGTCAGTCTTAAATTGGCACCCATTGATTCTGAGACCATGCCCTTTTTGCCCAGGAGTCTCCCATGAGGGGAAAGATCCTTTCAGCATTGGCCCTGTCAAGCACCTTAGCTGATGTCTTTGTGTGATGCTCTTTAAAACAGCACTCAAGTACTTTTGTGAAACTGTACTGGTGTTTGTATGGGGCTGGCTAACATACAAGAATAAACTTTTGTTTTATTCTTTGAGATGCAAGTGTTGCTGGCAAGTCAAGAATTCATTGCCTCCAAGAAAGTGGAGGTCAGCCGCCATCTTGGTCCACTGCAGTCTATGCTATGTAGATAATTTTACAAGTCCAGCTGATGTTGTTACTCTAGGCAAGTCAGATCCCAGGCTGAAATCTGGCTGAGGCTGACTCTGGCATTTGACATGATAATGTCTGATTGTAACCTTAAATTTGCATTTCCACCATTGTTCTCCCCAGCCTTTCTAACTCCTTGCTAAGTAAAAATGTATCTACCCTGATTTTTAAGCAGTGACCCAAGTTCTAGATTCTCCCGTGAGAGGAAACACTTGTCTCCGTCTAGCTTTTTTCAGGACCATTTGAGGATTTTGTTTCAGTCAAATCACCTCATTCTTCTAAACTCTAACCTAGTCTGTCCAGCCTTTTCCTCAAAGACGCTGCCTTATTCTGGGTGTTCTTCTAGTAAACATTCTTTGAACTGCCTTTAACATACTTGCTGTACCCTCAAATAAGCTGATCAATCCAGATATGATCTCACCAGTGCCCTGTGTATCTGAGAAAATATCCACCACCACCTTCTATTCAGTTGCACTCAATTAATGACAACATTCTATTAGCTTTCCTAATTACTCATTGTCCCTGCAAAATAGCCCTTTTCTGATTGTGTCCTAGTGTAGCAGGTCCCTGTGCATTTTTAGGGCCTTAAAAAAACTCACCACTTTGATAATATGCTTTTTCTTGTTCTCCCAAAATGTGAAATTGTTCATTTCTCACATTGTACTTCAATTACCACCCATTTCCTTTAACGTCTCAAAACCTTCTAACTGCTTTGAGTCCTTGAAAGAATGTTATCTCTGTGGTTGTCAAAATTGTATTTGACACAACTACCATGAGGTCTGAGCA